TTAGCTCAGGGCCAGTCTTACTCAGCAAAAAAGAGGGATTGGCTGCAGATGTTAGCTCAGGGCTAATCTTCCTCAAAAAAAAAAAAAAGAAAACAAATATTCTGAGGAGGAAGTGAAAATTCAAGCTTAGGAGAGGAGTCAATTCTTTTAGCTTCTAAACTACATGCTACTTCCCTTCACCTCCCCTGCTCACACTCACATACTTTCAAGAGAGGAAGAGCATAGTTGAGATAGAACTACAGCTGATTATAATTATAGAGAGAGACAGACAGGCGAGTTCAGGTACAGGATACTGAAGAACTGAGAGAAAACAAAGAAAGTAGAGAAAGTGGAGAGTTTGGGTTCTGGGATCATAAGAGTTCAAGAAGGGTCAGACTGCTTCACCTGCTGGCACTTAAGTCTTCATGGAGGCCTGCATTTCTTGGTGTCTTCCTACCACCACATTTTAAGGTTTGAGTCAGTAACATCCACCTAATAAGAGACCTAATCTGCAACAAGGTAACTACTGTCTATAGCTGTCACAGGATGCTGCTTACTTTTCACACCAGGGAAAAGCCAATGATCACTTTCAAAACATGTCCCAGACACTGCCAAGTATCAGTTTGTCAAGGAGTATGATTTGTACCCAGTAAGGAGAGATATAAGTCTATTTCAGCAAGATAAGGGGCCAAGAGGTTGAGGGCCAAGACAGAAACTCTACCTACTCCCCTGAATTCTTCTTGGGAGAGAAGCATGTTCTAGTGAGGAAGGAATGGAGCCGTTACTGGAATAGCACAGGATATACTCAGGAATATCCCTCTGCTATTTCTCCCCTCCAGACTTGAGCTAGTTCCATCCACTTGAGCTCGTTTGAAAGGAGACTTTAGATACGGTCAAATCTCCAGTTGCTTTTCATCAGATTTCCCAAAGGAATTCTGCCCTCTCCATATACTCAACTTCCTCTCTATCTACTGGGCCCTCTAGACTACCAACTTCATCTCTTGTTACTTCTTTAAGCCAATTCTTTCCAGGTTTTCTTACCTCTCTTGCACCTCTTATTCAGTGGATATTACTGTCTCATCATCCTAGCTGCAAAGGAGTTAATTTTTATTCTGCTGTCTATATACTTGGCAAAAGAACTTGAGATTTTATTCCTATGGAAGAAGATGAATGTGCATATTACATGTAGGGGATAATAGCTACAAGAGTCAGGCAGAAAATAAAAAACACACCACTTAACCTGATTCCAGTATTTCCTACACTTACTTGACACAACAACCATTTTCTGTCTCCTCTCTTTTTCCTTTCTCCTATCCCATATTCCCATGTAACGTCCATATTTATCTTCTTCCACAGGAATAGAACTTGCAATTAGGCGTGGCCATGTGACTAAGGTCTGGCCAATGAGATGCAGGTAGGATGATTGTGCGGCAGCTTCTCGGAAACTTTAATAAGAGCTAGTACATGCCCTTTGCCTTTTCTTCTTTGTCTCTTCATCCATCTTTCTGTCTAATACTTGAATGTGATGGTTAGAACTCTACCTACCAGATTAACGCCACATTCCAAGGGAAGGTGGAGAATGAACCGGAAGAAATCTGGTTCCCTGAAGACTGTGGAACAAAGCGATTGTAACAGCCATGAACTGCCTAACTCTTTTTTGTAAAGTCTCCTCTGATCTCCCTAGGCAAAATAACCCACTTCCTCCAATACTCTTACGCACTTTGCACAGATCTTTCATCTAGTACATATCCTATTGAATTAAACTTGTCTCTTATGCACACAGATAGCAAATCAAAGCCCATTGTGACTGACGGACAATGGATATGGTATTGAGAAGGAACCTGAGCTTCAGTTCTTGCTGAGTGGAAAAGTCACAACTGATTGGTGTTAGCTGCCATGGATAAAAGGGAGACTAGTAATTTGCCTCATAGATTTGCCACCTCTGACCTAGGCACATATCTATTTCATTTTCGATTATGATTTATAAAGGGTAGGAACTAACCGTTCTTAGTTTTCCATTTCCAGTGCCCAACTAGATCATAGGGTAGAATGAAAATTGCATGAATTTTAAAGATAAAATGAGACCCCCAAATTAATTTTACACCTGTGGTAAGCCAGTCTAAGGCACTTGTTCATCCTCCTCTTGCTTGGGTGTACTTCAGTGGGAAAATCTGAGATGCCCTGGCAAATCAGGAGGTGAAGAACAGCAATGCTACCGGATTGGAATTGTTGAAGCACTTGTTTTTTTAAAAATATGTTATTTGTTATTATCTTTGGATTGGATCAGACAGATTTTTCTCTTTTTTGTGAGAAGAATATGACTTCTCTGAATCAAGGTTCTGGTGAATGACTAATAGAACAGATTGGAGGGATGATAAATATGGTACCTAAGGCTAGTTGGATTACTCCCTCCATATTTTAAAAGTAACGGTTTCTGAACAAGACCAAAACAATACAGATATATTTACCTTCCTCTGATCTGAGATTCCTCTCTCGTTCAAGACTAATTCTTCTCCAGTATTGCACACCCCAGCCTCTCCTATCTTGAGTGGCCTCCCTATATCAAATACTCCTTTCCTGAATCCTCTTCTCTATTGACTTTTTCTTTTGGCAGCATATTCAGATGTCTCCCACCCTGAATTCCTAGGCCCTGCTTCCTGTCTGAGTCCTGTGTTCTCTGCTTGTTCATCTTTATAGCCAAGTTTCTGAAAACAACAGATGATACTGCCTGTGCCCCCTCTTCCCTTTATACCACCCTACATAGAGGCTGCTCCCACTAAAGATGAAAATCTTGATTCTTAAACTCCACAGCTCGTCTTCAGAGAGGCAGTAGAGTATGGTGGTAACAAGTACAGATCAAGCTGGACTGCCAGGGTTTAAATCCCCATTCTGCCTCTTATCAGTTTTATGATCTTGCCCAAATTATTCGACCTCCTTTTCCTCATCTTTAACACGGTTTTTTTTTTTTTTGAGGATTAAAGCACACAGGGTTGTTGGATGGTTAAGTGAGTTAATACATATAAAGTGCTTATAACAGTGCCTAGAACACAGTAATTATCATGTTAACATTATCTGATATTCCTTGGTGCTTATCTCATCTTATCTCTAATATTCCACATTGCTGTCAAAAACCTTCTAATTGAAAGTCTCCTCCCTTGGTTACTGTGATTCATTTTTATTTGTTTTCCTCATCATTTACTGGCTGCTCCTTCTTACTCTTTATCCTTGTCTCCAGCCTTCCAATTTTGCTTTTCTCTTTACTTAAAACTAAAATAAAATCATCTTTCTAAAGATATTAAATTTGGAGATAATTGAGCTATTCCATGAATGGCTTCCCATTTCCCAAAGGATAAAGTCCATTAATTGAAATCACTTTCAAATATCTCTGACTTTTCCCATCTTTCATTCCTGTCCCATCTTCAATTCTTTGCTTTTATTCCTTCAAGACTCATCTCATGCCCCACCTCCTAATGGGAGTAATTTCTGATCCCTTCTCAAAGTCTTAACTAAGTGCTCCTTCTCTATCCTTCCAGACTACCTTATGTAACTTTACCTCTATCACACCACTTATGACACCTGCTGTCTCCATGCTAGCTGTGAGCCATTAGAGGAAAAGGACTGAGTTTTCACCAGCCTTTAATTTCCTAATACCCAGCAAAGCCTCAGGTGAATTGGAAGTGCTCAATAACCACTCGGCAAGTGAATGAAATAATGAATAAAATGAGCACTATGCTTGGGCCAATGTCTCTTGAGAGAAAAGACTGAAAGAGTTCAATGCTTACTGGGACTTTCTTATGTGCAGTGCAAGGATCAGAACCCAGTTCACTTCATCTTTATTCCAGTATTTTTCCACAATACACTCACCACTAGTGGCCATATAAATAGTGATTGCACGCACACGCTCTGATATCAGACCATTCATATTTCAGCTTCACCAGTTACTTGGGCAAGTTATTTAATGTCTCTGGGCATCAGTTTTCTCCTAAGATAAAAATAATAACACATCTCATAGAATTCTTATTACAGGTTAATGAGATAATACACGCAAAGCGATTAGAACAGTGTCTGGAACATATCACGTACTCAAAAGTAATTAAAAATTATTTAAAATATTAAGATTCTGGATAGAACATTTTGACCTTACTTAGAAGTTTTCATTAAAAGCAAACATGAAACGAAGCTGCAGCTGCTGTGGGGAAGAACTCCAGAATTAGGAACATGATTAGTTAACCTCGAACACGTGACTTGTTAAGATCCTGATGACGCTCTCACTGCTCCCTAACCCCAGTACTTTGCTCATGGGGCAAGTCCTTGGTCACGCTGCCCAGCCTTTAGTCCTCCACATTCCTCGTACTTATTCTTCCCCTTTAACATCTGAAGGCTTTTAAAAAAAACTTTTTTTCATTGAACGATTGAGCAGGGAAAACATAAATATACCTATTTCACTCTGAAGGAAATCGCATTTCTGCTCCACCCTAAACATAGGTGATTACTCTTGGTTGATTCCAGGCCAGAGACATAATTAGAAAGGCCTGGAGAACCCCCTCCTGTCAGAGTAGTCCCATCCTTCGCTGCAGTTGTCTCCACCCACGCAACGCCACCACTACCCCCTTTTTCATCCATCTCGCTGGCCACATCTTCGGTGACTGAGCGCTTCCGCTGTGCTTTGGGATCCTCCATCTCTTCCAGATCCTTCGGGGCGTCTTCCTCAGGGTCGCTAGCATCCATCTCTGTGACGCTACTCCTGGCTCGAGTCCCCTTTCAACAGCCTCAAGGAAAGAAAAGAGAAGGAAACTGCAATACGAACTGAGCAGTTTCTTCTTAGACAAGCCGCAGTGGAGGGTTCCCTTAACCCAGCGCCCTCCGTAGCGGCCGAAAGGCCCTCTATGCCTTCGCCGGCTGCGCCCCGAAACGCCAAGGGCCCCGGAGCGCAGGCGCCCCAGGGCCCCGCCCCGTTCTAGAGACTCGGCCTCTATTGGCCCAGACGCGGGGGGGGGGGTACTGGAGCGCCCTAGTCGCTAAGCGGGGGTGGTCATGTGACTCGCGGGGGCGGGGCTGCGCCGGCCGCTTCCCAGCCAGGCTGAAAGGGCTCGCGTAGCCGGCCCTATCGGGCCTTAAAGCACCCGCTGGACGGCCTGGGCCCGACTCCCCTCGCCGAAGTGCGCAAAGGGAGCTGCTCCTGGCTCTCCTTGGCTCCCCAGGTTTGCTTTCCTTCTTTTCCCGAAGGTAGGCCCTCAGGTCCAGCGCCGTGGAGCCTGCGGCCGCCAGGAAACCCAAATCCGAGTGTCCAGAGAGTAACCGGAAGTGCCGTCCCTGGCGGAGGGGCGGCGCCGGGGGCTGCCGGGGTAAGCACGGCCGCCGGGCCTGGGAGGGGCCTGGCCTGCGGGACCGGGGACGCGGGGAGGGGCGCGGCGGGACTGGAGACCCCCGCGGCCTCAGCTTGGTAGGAGCAGCCTCTGTTCCTCGCGACCGATTGGGGTCTGAGACCCGCTGACGGCAGACTGAAAGGCGGTCAATGAAAAGTTGGAAGAAGAGGGCTTCATATCGTCGTTCCAATAGTAGTAAACACTGCCAGGCACTTTTCTAAGCGATCTAGGTCTTTCATATTGGGAAAGAAAACCCAAGGACGTTGAATGGAGTCCCCCCTGCACTTTAATGCAGAGATTAGTTACGTTGCAGTCGTATCTATGTGCAGAGGGATATGGTTTGTGTAATTATTCGATAACCATTTTGGGAAACCTCCATTATATATAACTTTTTATTGTATACGCCTATCAACTACATCTTGGGGTTTAGAGTGTTAGAAGAATGGGCTCCTTGACCTTAGAAGTTGAAATAATAACAAACAAAAAACAATTAGCAGAAGGATAAAAATTAAAACAAAGAAAACAGGACTCAGGGCTTTATTATGAAGTTAAAGTTAGTCATCACCCAGAAGGATTCTTGATATTCTGTCTAGAGCTTCTTGGGAAGGAACTGATTGCTCCAGTGGCAGGTACTTCTGGCAGGAGAAACAAAATGTAAGCAACGGTGGGAAGAGGTAAGATATGGTTGAAGGATGCTGACCAGACTGGGGAGTAAATGGGACTAATATTTAGGTGTCCAGCTCCAGAAAAGTTATAAACTTCACAAAAATTGTAAATTTCTATATTATTGGTTTTTCCTCTAGGAGAAGGAAGAATTGAATGTTATGAATATTATGGACTAGAGACCTTGTGGACCCAAAGGAAGACAGTTTTGAGTCTTTGTTGTTACGGTAAGTGGGATACCAGGCTGTTTGTTTCTGTATAAATGTGGTGGACTTTGGAGGGGGTTGGAGAGGAGCACTGGGGGAGGCCAAAGAGGAATGTCGGAAGATACCTGGAAAAAGCGAATGTTCCTTTGTTAGCTCTTCAGATAGCAGAGTGATAAAATGTGGTCCTATCCTACCCATTTAAGTGTAGCTTCTACTCCTTTCCAACATACATATTCGCAGTAGGCTTGTAGGAATTGCTTCTTGATTGATTCGCAGCCCAAAAAAGACAGTATGCCCAATGCTTATGCTGACTCTGGAGTCAGAGGGTGGAGATTTAAATCATGGCCTTGCTACTTATTAGCTGTGAGTTCTTGGGTAATTATTTAACTGCCCTAAGCGTATGGTTTTCTATCTGTAAGGTGCAAACATTGGTATTAATACGTACTTTACAGAGTTCTTGGGAAGATTAAGTGAGGCAATCCATGTAATCAATGGAAAATAAATGAGATAATCCATACCTAAGGCCTGATACAGTAAGCATTATGTATTTTTTTAGATAATGCTTTATTGACTTTGTCTGCTTGTCCCATGTGTCTTTTAACTGTAAGGATAACCTTGAGCTTTGAAGTTCTATATTCATCCTGTCTGCTTGGACTTTTATTGCCTGTCTGCTTATTCTCTGCACTCTAACCTTAGACATGGAAGACAGAACCAGATTTTTCTAGGATGAAGTAAGAGAAACCTCTTAGGGGAGGTACCCTGAAGCTAAGACTTGAAGGATTTATTTGAATCTGCCAAATGGATCAGCCAGAGCTACTAGCCTAGCCTGTTAACATTCTACTGGGGCTCTAAGGATGATGATGGCCCTTTTTGCGCTCTAGTATTTATTCCTTTATGTTTTTTATTCATTCAACAAATGTATTCTAGATGCTAGGGATATTGCAGTGAACAAAAGGCTGAATCCTGACCCTAATGGAAGTTATATTCTAGTAGGAGAGAGAAACAAATGAACGAATGTAAAATATAGACTACACAGACGACGATGAGTGCTGTAGAGAGAAATAAAGCAGGGTAAGGGGAGGCAGCTGTTTTAGATAAAATAGAAAGTGTCTCTTCTTGAGGAAGTAATTGTCAGTCAGAGACTTAAATAAAACAGCAAGCCACCTGGGGGAAGAGCATTCTAGGCAGAAGGAACTTGCAAAGGTTCTGAGGAGGCTTGTGAAGCTGAAGACAGATGGATGTGCAACGTTATGTAGAGCAGTGAAAACTTTGGGTTTTATTCTGAGTGTAATAGGAAAGAATTACAGTGTTTTGAACTAGGAAAGTGTCTTGGTGTACCTTAAGTTTTGACAGCCAGACTGTTTTCTTTTCTAGGTACTGACATCTAAAAGACTTAGATATGAATACGAAAATGATTTCCGTATTTTAAAATTTTTTTCTTCTTGATGCCCCACAGTTTATTGGATATTTAAGGAAAATATGAATCCTTGGGCTGATAGCTTTAGGGAATACTCTGATTCATTTGCTGGGCTATGACCAAGCTCAGAATCCTTTATTTCCGTTCTTTTCTCCTTTTGATCTTAACAGTAATACATGTTTTAAAAGACAAAACTCCCATAAGCCCACTATCTTATACTAGCTATTTGTCTGTATGCCTGCATATCTTTACTTAGTTGTGATTCTGAATTCTTCCTTTTCCTCGTAATTCCCTGTAAATATTTTTCTGGTTTTTCAAGATCTTCTTATAAACCATTAACTGGCTGAGTTATGTTATTATTTATTATTTATTTAATTATTTTAAATGTATTTTGAACAAGGCTTTCCACAAGAGGCAAGTATAGAGAATGGACTCAATAAATGTTAGGGGTTTTGTGCATGCACAGTTGGAATTACGAAAGTAGTAGAACCTACTTACCATTTATGGAGCATCTGTTGAAACCCAGCGTTTGAGTAGAGTCTTTTACTAACAGTGTCGCAGTTCTCATAACAACTCCTTGAGGCATGTAATAATATCTTACCTATTTTATCAAAGGGGAAATTGAAGCTGAAGGAAGTCAACTTCCCAAATTCTCACAGCTACAAAGGAGCAGAGTGGCAATTTGAACCAAAATCTGATTTTAGTGCTTAAACATTCAGTTTAAACTAGTGCAATATACTAACTCTCAGCTGCCATGTTCTTTAAAAAACAAAGTAAAATACCTTTTTTTTTTTTGGTGAGGAAGATTGTCACTGAGCTAACGTCTGTGCCAATCCTCCTCCACTTTGTATGTGGGACACCACCACAGCATGGCTTGATAAGTGGTGCATAGGTCTGCGCCCGGGATCTGAACCTGCAAACTCCGGGTCACCAAAGTGGAGTGTGCAGACTTAACCCCTACACCACCAAGCCAGCCCCCAAAGTAAAATACCTTTTAATTTTGAAATAATTTCAGACTTTCAAAAAAGTTGCAAATAGTACAAGATTGCCTATATACTCTTCACCTGTATTCCCTAAATGTTAGCATTGTGTTTGCTTTATGATTCTGTTTACTTGTCTCTTTATACACACACACACGTATATGTGCATTTTTTTTCTGAACCTTTTGAGAGTAAGTTATATACATAATATCTCTTCTTAAACTATGGGAGAATTAAGCCCTAAAGTCCTAAGGTGTATAGTGAATTAACGTCTCTCCCGTGCATGTACAATGCTACTAACTACATGTCATCCTTGGGAGAATTGAAAAAATAATTACTCAAATCATTTTCAGAACTCTATTTGAGAAAGCGTGTCCTAAACACCAATAGTTTATTCCTAAAAACAAGGCTGTTCTCTTACATTACTGTTACAATTATCAAACTCAAGAAATTAACATGTATATAATACTGTTATCTAATTTCCAGACTTTATTCAAATTTAGCCAATTGTTCCACTAATGTCTTTTTTAAGAAAAGCAAAAAAAAGCTTTTGTGTTGTCCAAGATCTAATCCACCATCACTCATTTCATTTACTTGTCATGTCTTCTTTATTGTCAAACATATCCTCAGACTTTGTCTTTCATGACCTTGACATTTTCTTTAAAAAAGAGTTTAGGCCACTTATTAAGTAGAATTTCCCTCAATTTGGGTTTGTCTGACGTTTCCTTATGATTAGATTCAGGGTATACATTTTTGGGAAGATAGCACAGAAGTGATGTTTTCTTCTTGTCTTTGCATCATTTTAGGAGGCAAATTAGATGTCTTGTTACGGGTGTGGTTCACTTTGATCACTTGGTTATGGTGATGTGTTCCGGGTTTCTATACTGTGAAGTTACTCTGTTCGTCTTTGTATTTCTTCAATATCTACTGGGTAGATATTTTCAGATTGTGTAAATATCCTGATTCTCACAAAACTTTTTACCCTCTAGATTTTTGCCTGAAGCAATTAATACTCTTCTTTCGATTGGACATGGTGATTTTTTAAATTCTTTCATTTCTTCTACATTTAATTGTTGGCTTTTTCAGTTAAGAAAAAACTTTCCCTTCTTCCTCTTTATTCACTTTTTTTAAAATGAGTATGGATTTCCTGGAGTCTTGTTGTGTTACTGGCTTATTACTATCATTTATTTTGATGTTCTATTTCTTCCAGATTTGTTCAGTGGTAGCCCCTTCAGCCTGGCTCCTGGGTTCGTTTGGCCTATTGTCACCACTTTGGGGGCACTTCCTTATTTTCTTGCACAACAAGATCTTCCAGCCTCATCTTGTTTGTAGTCCCTGGAATCAGCCGTTTCTCCAAGGACCCTGATTCCTTTCAGTGGAGAAGGGTGTTTGGAAACCAAGACTGAGTGCTTGGTCTGCTCATTACTATCAGGAAATCATTGTTTCTGTGACATCTCAGCAGACATTACTAGAAAAAAATAAACACACACCTTCACATGTACACCATTTCTGTTTTTTCTATATATAATTTAAAACCTTGACCTCATACTGATACTTCTAATTCCAGTTAAACAGTACTGAGTTCCGTCTGTCCTTTCCCTCTGCTATATTTGTAACTCCCTTCTCTGACAGTGAGGAATCTGGGTGCCATTACCCATACTATGTTTACTTAATTGTTCAGTCCTAGGATATACGTTAAGTAGTGTATCTTTACCACCATTAAAGTTCAGTAATTGTTCCTAGTACTTTTTATTTTTAGCTTGAGTTTGTGTAGTCCTAATAGTGTGTTAAAGAGTTATTTGAGTTATTTTTTTCCCCTTCTGAGTGGTTGTGTTATTGTTTTGAAACACAGACTCATTTGTTTTTCTTTGTATTCCATTTTAGTGTTTTCCTCCCCCATTTTGTCTGTTTAGTTAGTTAGTTTATAGAATACATGAAATATAGCAGCTCTAAAGGTAAAACTGGGGACCGGCCTGGTGGCGCAGCGGTTAAGTTTGCACTGGGGTTTGCCGGTTCGGATTCCGGGTGCAGACATGGCACACTGCTTGGCACGCCATGCTGTGGCAGGCGACCCACATATAAAGTAGAGGAAGATGGGCATGGATGTTGGCTCAGGGCCAGGCTTCCTCAGCAAAAAGAGGAGGGTTGGCAGCAGATGTTAGCTCGGGGCTAATCTTCCTCAAAAAAAAAAATGTACAAGTAAATATGTGTGTTACAAAAATGTATACTCAGAGAATTGTGACTGTCTCTGCCTCCACCCTCCGCCAATTCCATTTTCCTGTCATTTTGATCCCATTTTCACCTACCTTGTGATAATAACCAAACTCAATAGTTTCTTCTTTATCTTTTCTGAATTTCTTTTTGGCCAAATGAATAGATACATGTATAGTTTTTAGTTCTACTTCATTCTTACACAAAATGTAGGACATTTTTTTTATACCGTTGCTTTTTAAAATTTGTAATTTATCCTGGAAATCACTCCACATCAATTCATAAAGATTTTCTTTGTTCTCTTTTACAGCTGCGTAGTACTCCATCATATGTGGATATACCAACTTTCTTCAGCTGTTTTCCTATATATGAGCATTTAAGTTGTTTTAAATGTTTTCAAATTACAAACATTG